ATCCTAAAGATCCAAGAACAGCAAAAATTTATACATATATATTGGAACAGAAATATCCGCTAAGCTACGATCTCAAAGTTTCGAGCTGGAATCAATAACTTCAACGGGCACAGTGTCTCCAAAACAAAACAGATTTAGAAACAAGCGGCAGAGATAACTCTTAGTCTGACTAACTTACTCCACTGTACTCCGTTCCCCCTTTCATAAATTTTTTTTTACCGCATCTACAAAATTCTCGAATTGTCTCAAAGACGACAGAACTTCTAGGATTCCAGACCTCGCGAATGCCAGCTAGTCTCGAAAACTATCGCGACTGGCAGGACAGAAAGGAACCAGCGATCGGGGCTCGCCCGTAACAGTATCACGTGAATTTGATTTCAAAAGTACAACTCTATTATAGTAAATGTTTTTTCAGTATTCTGAGAAATACCGTGAGAAAAAAAAGTAGGCATAAGGCAAATAAAAATATATAGTCTTAAAAAATAATAGCTAGCATAATTTCTACTGAAATTTTTATTTCTGTCTGTATTATTTTGTAAATTCACTTTGTCTGAGCTCAAGGGGGGTGTTTAAACCCCTAACCCCCCCCCTTGCGTACGCCCCTGGTCAGAAGTTTTTTAGTATAATTTTTATTTTCTAGGAGGCTCTGCTAGCCAACCCCATGTTTGCCTTTCAATGTTGTTCTTAAATATATTATTATTTTTATTATTCTTAAAAGTTGATTTTTTTTTATAAATTGTTTGTTGTACACTGTTTACTAATGTATAAAACCTAAAAAAATGAACTAAATGTATAAAAACTAATAAAATGAAATTCTATTAATTATTAAGAACTTTATTAAAATTATTATATTATTAATTGTATATTTTATCTTTGAAATGTTATAAATTAATGCATAGTATAAATTTGATTGTGTTTGCAAAATTCCCTTGAGCATTAAAATTTCATTGTAAGAATAAATTTTTTTTAATAGAATTAAATAAAGTTCTATTCATTAAATGCCAGGATAAGGAATTACAATAATTGAGAGTTAACAAAGTCTAATTTTATGTAAGCATAAATTTATAAAAACATGTCATTAGCTTTTCGCTTCAGTTTTTGGATGAAACTCGAAACAGTAAGATGTATAGCAATTGAATATATCCGAAACAATTATTTGCAAAACTTGAAATGTTTGGAGCTCGCTACCAACCTGGAAAATTGGAATGCTGTTATGATGCCAAGTGTTATTTGTGATTCAGGTGTGTTTTGTTAGTTTATTATCTGAGTTTCAAGTTGGCAGAGTAAATTTGGAATCTAAACGACGGTTACTAGCCAAAAATGGAAAGCTTGAATTATAAATAGTGAAAAATTTTTGTTTGAAGTACTCGGTTAAATAAGTTGAAAAAAACATGTAAAAGGAAATGGGCAAGGTCTAAATCAACTTAAATGTAGAGATGTATTACTGATTAATTAAAAATAAAAAATCTTTTAAGTGAAAAGATACTAATTGAATAAATATGCTGTAATATAATTTCATTTCGAGAAGCATATTTGCTATAAGGTAAAGTCTTATTTCAAATTTTGTCAAGTGTTAGTATAATTTCATTAGTTTTGTGTTATAATTGGTTACAATAGATTACAAATGGTCTAAATTTTTTGTGTTTTTTTTATTTATTATCCAATGTATAAAAGTCAGAGATCAAAAATATTTGTATGTAGCCAGGTTACATCAGGTAGGGGTGTTAATTTAAATAATATTATTTTTATAAAAAATTTAGTTTTTACGTAAATGTTTTTCTCTTTTAAAAGTTATCCTTAGAGGAAAAAAAAAAAAAAAAACGTTTTCTGAGTTTTTTTTTTTTTTGTTGGTATTTCTTCTACTGCAGCATTTTAAATTTTAATAGGGAAAATTAAGTTTCACATAAATGTTACCCCTTTTTTTTAAAGTTAGTTAATGATGTTTTTTTGTAAGCAAACAATTCTGTCAGTTAATGGCTTTAATTTATTTTAAAAGTTATGACAAGGGAACTTCAGTTTTATCTTTCGCAAATTACATTTAATAATTTTGTATTGAATTTGAATTGAATCGCAATCATGTTTAAATCAAGTATAAAACAATGAATTCAGTAGGAATCAAAAATTTTGCTCTTTTTAATTTGTTCTTTATACATAGTTTTGTTCTTTGTTATATTCAAGCACAATGATAATACTACCTTCTTTGACATTTATGTTGTTTTTAACGAGTATTTTTATACTTTGGACAATTATTTTCTGTATGAAAGTAATAAAAAATTTAAGTAGAATATTTAATTTCTTTATTAAGTTTACTAACTATAATGTACACTTAAAAATGCAACTTAATTCACAATATTTGAAAGAAAAACTTTCTCCATATTTTTTTTAAAACTTACAATAAAGCACGTTTTTAACTTTCTGTCTTTTTATCATTTAGAGAAAACCACCCATATGAAGTGTGTGAAGTTATATCTACTCCTGTAAGTATATGTTGTAATATTTTTTGTTATAGTTATATTATTAGTTTCTGTGAAGTTTACTTGTAATCAGTGTAATGTTAATCAGCTAATTTTATTGGTCCTAAACTAAAAGTTGTTACAATTGGCTATAGTTTTTATTCAAATAAATGAAATTTAAACCTGCAGGTTTTAAATAAGGAATTTTGTTTTTTGAAATTGTATTTTGTCTGTAAAGTTATTACTTTTTAAAGTACATTTGCTAGAAATTTTCTTTTTTATTAACCCATTGCATTCCACTGGACATTTTATTTTGGACAGATTTTACTGATATAATTTAGGGTTTATAGTTGTCCTGATATTCCTAATTTTTTTGTTTTTATTTGCCTTTTAGTCCTGATATTCCAGTTTTCTGGGTGTTCAGAACATTTTTTTTCTGCAAATACGAATGTGGAATTTAAAATAATTGATTTTAAAAATCGAAAAATTAGGAATTTTGTTTAAACTTATTTTATTTAACTAACGTTGTATATTTAATTAATAACTAAAGTAAAAATTGCAAAATTCTGTAGTTCAAACTTAGAGACAATACTTATGTACAAAAATGTTAAGTGGGACCCTTTTTTTATAGTTTAGATAACCTGAATTAAATAAAATTTTGATATATAAATTTAATTTATTTGATAGTGATATAAAAATAATTCGTGATGAATAATTGTTTATTATTATTATTTGCATCTTTTGATAATTATTATTATGAGCATCTCTAAATTAAATACAATTGATATTAAATAAGTGTAATAATTCGTGGTGAGCTTTTTAACTTTAGCATTGACAACATGTTGATCATTAGCACAAGTTTTCAAGATTTACATAAGTTTTGTAATTAGTTTTACACTCTTTTAGATTCAGCAAGGAAATCCACCATACTTGAAATGGTTAGATGAAGTTGTGCCTGAAAAGTCTTCGAAAATAGAATTGTAATAAAGTGATGTTTTGTTAATAAATGTTTGATAATTTTGATATTCAAAATAAATGTTATGTATATTCAACAAATGTGTGTCTTTAATTATATTTGAGAATGAATAACTTTGTTATGCTTGCTTATGTTTTATTTGTGTTGAAAGTTACCTGTTAAGGCAGTTTCTTGATTTCGTAAAATTAAAGTTTTTTTTAAAATTATTTTATTTAATTGTAATTTTTATTTTTGCAAGAAGGATCTTTAAGAGCATCTAATAAGTCCATTTCGAATTTTACAAATTCTGTGATGAAGAAATGCTAATATCTGACACATTTTGATTGAATTTATTAGATTTGACACATTGAATTTATTAGATTTAAATAAATAAATAATTGAACCTTATTTTGTACATGATAGCTTTTTAAATAATTGGACTTGGAGAGGGGGGTACATTTCAACATGGGACACCTTTCAACAACTAGAATTTCTGCCTTCTAATATTGCTTAATGATTGGCCAATATGCCAGACAATAAGCTTTAACTATGCATAACTGATGACATTTAGTTTTAAGCACTTTCTTTTTACCACTGTTGTGTTACTCTGTGGAACATGTTTTAACATTCCAAAAGTAAAAAGACAGTTTTGATTTTAAAACTGTTTATCTACCAGTAATCTTTTAATAAGGTAAGTGATATTTATTCATCTGCTAGTTTATTTAATTCTGTTTCTAACTGTATTATTTATTAGTAAAAAGTTTTTTTCTAAAGTGGTTGATAATACTTTAACCAAAATGTCTGTACCAGGAGCACATTTCAACAGTGTTGAGAGGTGCCCCGGACTTATTATTTTTTTGTTAAGTAATCTTGCAGAAGTCATTAGTCTTGCAAAAAGCCCATTAATTACGCTTGTTACATTTAAAATACTAAACTTTTTCTGTGAGGCATTATTCTAAACTTTTTGAAAAACATGTGAATGTGTTCAAGGAAGCATGTTAATGAAAAATTTTTCAATGATATGAAATTTTTTTTAAAGCTTAAAATCAAGATTCCATTAGTTGCATTGTTGTTGAAAATAGAATTTCTTAACGAGGAATTTATTCAATAGAATAATTATTTTAAAATTTTATAAAAATATTCAAAAAAATTTGATTTAGAATGAAAATAATTTAATTTTAAGAAAA